CTGCCCAGAGGGGCTGTGGAGTCTCCTTCTCTGGAGATATTCCAGACCCGCCTGGACGCGGTGCTGTGCAGCCTGCTCTGGGTGACCCTGCTTGGGCAGGGGGGTTGGACTGGGTGACCCACAGAGGTCCCTGCCAACCCCTACTATTCTGTGATTCTGTGATTCTTTGTCCTCATTCGAAGCACCTTGGTTGCTGGGGTTTGGGGCAGGTTAACCACGTGGAAACCTCAGGAGGATCTCTTTCAGCCATCTGAATACTGCACTCGGCGTGTTAATGAGTCGGCTACCCAAGTCACAGGACTTAAGTAGTGTTTTAGACTCTCTGAAAAATCCCTTAGTTACACAAAGAAGTGGAGAAACTTGCTCAGAACAAGTAAAATCATAGTCTGTAAGCTCATAAAATTTTAAATCCCAGTATACAATACAAACTACATATATTCCACTTCTGAACAGGAACTGGGTTTCATGGAGAATGCTTTACTAGAAAAATGAGATTACTTTTTTCTTATTATTAATGCCTGTCAATAGGAGACTCACTAAAAAGGGATTCTGTGGAAAATCTCAGCAGGTACCAGGCAGGTACTGCAGGCAACCCACAACCACACGAAGCCTTTCCACCACAGAAAAGCAACACAAGGTAGAAATTCTGACTGAATTAGAAAATGATGCCTTGCATCGCAGAACAAAGGCTACATTTTGAGACCACTTTCATTCCTGTACTAACCTAGGTTGAAATCTTTATGACTTGCTGTGGAAACCAAGCGTGTTGTAAGCCTGTTCCTTGCGCACTGGTATCTGTACAAAATAAATACCCAGTGACCAAGCCACCATCAGACTTCTAGCAGTGGGCAGTAAAAAAAAGCTCAATTGTACCACTGTGAAGCGACTGTGGGCTGAAATGAAGCAGTGACTGATGAAAAGGAACATGTACAAACCATGTTGCTGCTCAAGAGAATTTTCTGATGCGGCAGAGGTCTGACAAACGTCCTTGGAAAAAAAAAAACAACAGCGAAAACTTGTGAAGAGGGAGAGCAGAAGAGGAAATAAAAAATAAGAGGCGATTTCAGACACTTGCTGGCTACTACTAGAACTACTACCCCTCAGTAAGAGGAAGCATCGGCAAAAAGAACTCAAAAGACTCATTTGATGAAGCTTCGAAACATCTTCACCAAGATGTCATGCGTGAGAAATGCCCGTTGCTTGCATCACCCTGGGGTGCTCAAACGGCTCTGCTGGCCTCACTCCAGCCACGAGCAGAAATCACGAGTTAAAAGCATTCATGTTTTGTTTTTTGGGTTTTTTTTTTTTTTTTTTTTGGGGGGGGGGGAAGATTCAGAAAGCAGAAAGAATAAACCCTCATCATGAGTTAATGAACTGCAGGTATTAGACTCTGCATAAAATCATCAGTGTAACTGGTAACTCTTAGAATGCAAGCTAAAGGGCTGCAAGGATGGTGAGGGGACTGGAGCATCTCTGCTACGAGGAGAGGCTGAGGGAGCTGGGCTTGTTCAGCCTGGAGAAGAGAAGGCTGAGAGGGGACCTTAGAAATGCCTCCAAATATCTGCAGGGTGGGGGTCAGGAGGACGGGGCCAGACTCTTTCCAGTGGTGCCCAGCGACAGGACAAGGGGCAACGGGCACAAACTGAAGCAGAGGAAGCTCCAGCTGAACACGAGGAAGAACTTCTTCCCTCTGAGGGTGACAGAGCCCTGGCCCAGGCTGCCCAGGGAGGCTGTGGAGTCTCCTTCTCTGGAGATATTCCAGCCCCGCCTGGACGCGGTGCTGTGCAGCCTGCTCTGGGTGACCTTGCTTGGGCAGGGGGTTGGGCTGGGTGACCCACAGAGGTCCCTTCCAACCCCTGCCATTCTGTGATTCTGCGTAAAGCTCAACTTGATGAACAAGGATTCCATTACCAACCACAGCAATCCAAAATGCGGTCTGCCTTCAGAATTTACTCTTGATTTCCATACCCCAAATAACCTGAACATCGAGGAAATACATTCCTTTCTCTTTCTCTGAAAACAACAAGTTCTCTTTCACTAAACCCAACGATATACCCAACACTTTGCCCGGAGTTCATACCGCAACGACACGCAGAGCGGGACGGGAACGGGCAGAGCGAAGGCTTGGGGCACCCTGTGCTGTCAATACAAGATGACCCCACCGAGCACTTCCACTCCTCTGCCCTCCTTCTGCACTTCTGGGTTTATCAGCACAAGAAAAAGAAGAAAGCTGCATTTTAAGTTTTACTAAACCTTTTTCTTATGGATTTCCTGCAAGGTTACACAGCTTATTAATACTTCTACCATTCATAAATGCTCCAGCAGTTGGGTAATTTCCACTGCCTTCCGCAGAAACAAGCTGTATCACTTGCACTAAAAAAATTGGCATTGCTTAACCCAGAAACTACGGGCTTTAGAAAGCATTTTCTTCTTGAAAAATCAGGTTTACATCGTAATTATTTCTTTCCTGCCCAGTTTTGCATCCTTAACATTCTAGTATCAGGAAGACGAAATCTTTGCTCGTATTATGTAGCCGCTAAGCAGAACACGAGCTACACGCTTATTCTCTTTATTTAAAATAATTACCATACTGCATGGATACTACATTCAAGCTCATCTTATACAAACACTGTAAGACAACCCTTTTATTTTACCCTTCAATGATGCCTAGGGTGAAAGCAGCAGTCCAGGCAACCAGCGAACCCGTAATGCCCGAGAGGACAAGGCCAGCGCAGCCCTCACGACATCGATTCGCAGCCCTCGGAACCAACCAGCCAAGCGGGCTCCTGCCTTCCAGGCCGTAACACATTGCTAACTGCTGCACCTCACATACTCAGCAGCACACTGAGAGGCAAAGAGAGAGAGATGCCAAATTATAACAAGATGCTAAAGCCCAAAATCCAGCTGTGGCTGACACCCCGCTCCTGAAAACTCGGCTCCAGTGGTGCCCGATGCCGAGCAAGCCTGAACCCCAGGGACAGGACACATCTGCTCTCCGCAGAGTCACTGCAGCGGCCAAGATGGGGCTTCTGCCTGATCATAAAGTTTTGGTGTCTTAGGACAAGAGTAGGAAATTGCCAAGTATGATTCCTACAACAAACACAGGAGGAGAAACACAAGCTATTTCAGTTTCACGCTGCACAAGCAAAAATATTTTAAGAAATGCAATATATGCTCTGCAAAAAAAATTCCTCTCCGGTAGCTTCTTGATGTGCTGGGAATGATAACGGGAAAGCACTGGTACTCAAATGCTACAATTTTTAACGCTTTAGAAGTGTATCAACACAAACATTTCCTTCTCATTTTCCAAAGTTTCACCTCTTCTAGCGTAAAAACGTACATTTCGCTAGCTAAAACCTCAATGACAAATAGAAGAATTGCACTATTTGAAAACAAAAAGCTCTGGATTTTGCATGCTCAGATCCAAAAGCAGCCTTCTTGGGCTGGTTATTGAATCAGTATCATGTGTATTATTTAGGTCAGCTTTAAAACCAAGTACTGCAGCTACCAGAGAATTTATACCCGATCCCACCTCACCCATTTTCCTTGCTTATGAGTAAACTTTCCTTTAGGAGATAACCATACAGCAGGTCAGATTAGCAAACGTTAAAAGGCTATGTGAGGTTTGTGGTGGTGGTTTTGTTTTTGTTCTTCTTTGAAGAGAAAATTATACATCAAATATTACATGCTATTATTTGTTTCTCTTCTGGGAGGAGGGAAAAGAGGTGCATGGGTGGCTCTTCATTGCGAAGTGAGGGCAGCGAGACAAAAGCTAGAAACAAAAAAACGGTTACAGAAGACAAGGACAGAACAGAATCACAGAATCACAGAATCACAGAATAGTAGGGGTTGGAAGGGACCTCTGTGGGTCACCCAGTCCAACCCCCCTGCCGAAGCAGGGTCA